CAGACTTGTATTAAAAAAGCAAATATACACCCAACATTCAAAATCATCAAATTAGAATTTGATCTTCCAGATTAGGCGACAATGATTAGAACTTCTTCAGGGAGCATGCAGTTGGAACCTTATTTAAGATGCCTATGATCTGATATTCCCTGCCATTAACATATGTGGTATCATTAGGCCAAGATCAACAGAGCTCTCTAAAGTCCTCAGAAAAAGTTGTGGATGTCTATGAGTCTGGCAAGGGTTTCAAGAGATCACCAAATTATTTTAAAATCAAATCATTCCACTGTAAGGGAAATCTACAAGAGCTGATGCCAAGTCTCCAGGAACCCCGACATTACATTGTGGGGTAGGCAGGCAACTCTTGCAAACAGTTGGGGGTCAAACTGCATGCATCTAAAAATCAAAAATATTGCACCTATTCAACCTGCATGAGAGGTCTGTGAAGGTTCTCATTCATCCAGGTCAAGGTACATCAAAAAAAAATTAAAAGGCAAATTTTTCTTGAAGACGTTTCACTGGTCATCGGACTAGCTTTCTCAATTCAGAATGGCTTGTACAAAACTTCCCTGGGAATACAGGTGAAACTCGATTAGAATATCGTGCAAAGTTCATTTATTTCACTAAGGCAACTTAAAAGGTGAAACTAATATATGAGATAGACTCATTACATGCAAAGCAAGATAATTCAAGCCGTGATTTGTCATAATTGTGATGATTATGGCTTACAGCTCATGAAAACCCCAAGAACCCCAAATCCACAAACCTCAAAAAAGTAGATTATTACATGCAATCAATAAAACAAGGATTGTACATAGAACAATATCGGACCTCTGAAAAGTACAAGCATGCATATGTACTCAGTACTTGGTTTGGGCCCCTTTTGCAGCAATTACTGCAATTACTTTTGCACGATATTCTAATTATTCGAGTTTCACCTGTATATTGAATGTTGCTCCAATCAACAATCTTTTAATCATAACCAACATGGGGTCAGAGATAGGGCTGCAGCTAACGATTATTTTCATAATCGTAGTTAGCCGATGATTAAGTTCGATAAATCGGTTAATAAAAAAGGCTCCAGTGATAGACTACTACGGTAGTTTCTATTGAGATTGTAGTCCATCACGGGAGCAAGCTTGGCGCGGTGGAAGTAAATATAGTACATTATACAGCGGCACAGTGCAGAATAACAGCAGCTATAGAGGAATGCAGCAATAGTGCATTATGCTATAAAGTACTATTGCTGGTATTTGTAGTCCTCTGTAGCTGGCGTTATTCTGCATTTCTCTGTATATAATGTATTATTGCTGCGATTTGTAGTCCTCTATAGCTGGTGGTATTCTGCAGTGTGCTGTATAATAATTATACGGGTTTACCGGCGGGTGCGGTGGGCATGGCGCGAGCGGCTTAACCGCCGTGGGTGTGGCGCGAGCAGCGGCCGGGAAATTTGAATTTTAGCCGGCGAATCGACGATGTAAAACGTTGACAACGTTTTCCATCGTCGATTTTAATGGGCTTAATCAAATAATTGTTGCGGCTCTAGTCAAAGATTTCATGGGGGGTAAGGTGTTTATTGTATTTGCATAATTGGAGCTAGCAGGTGTTATTTTCTTGTCCAGAGAGGTGTTAAAACAGCATTGCATGTGGCAGACAGTAGATGTCTCTGCTTCCTCAGGGACCCTAGATGACATTAGGGTTCTGAGGACCTGTCACAGCCTGCTATTACATGGGGGGCTTGTTAGCCCCCTATGTGATAGCAATAAAGTTAAAAAAGGAGAACTATGAGGTGAATCATTTTTACTCAACCTCATAGTTCGAGCCGACCTGTGACAATGAAGCGGTCACATGTCGGCTCAATAGATCGGGACGTGAGCGAACACATACTGTCGCTCGCTTCTCGATCATCTCCCTGCAGGGATTCCCCCCCCTCCCCATTCCTCCAGTGCTGACTAGAGGAACAGATGGGGGAGGGGGGTGGGTACAGCTGGCTCTGCCTCTAGGTAGACAGAGCCTGCTGTCAATCAGCCAGCTGGGTGGATCTCGACACCAATGTCGGGATCCGTCCCGTCTGCGGCGGTCTCAATATACTGCTGAGCTGTAGCCCGCTATATACTGAGCTTTGGGTCACCGGAGGACGCTAGTATATGCCCTTCTGTGACCCTTAAGAAAAAAACAGTTACCCCATAGTTCTCTTTAAGTGTTTAAAAATTACAACAAAAATTGGAGAGAAAAAAAAAGTTTTAAAGTACCCTGCCCCCCACATGCAAACACAGATTGGTGCAAAAACGAAGATTGCGCTTCACATTCCCGCAAACATCGCAGTGAGAGCAATAATTCTAGAGCCATAAATCACTACACTATCATCAAGCACTAAACTGATGAGCGGTAAAAGCTTTTAAAGGGTTCCCTATGGGAAATTTTGCAGCTTCACAGGTGTAAGCAATATTAAGGCTTGACATGTTTGGTATCCATTTACCCGACGTGACCCCAGCTTTTATATTTTACCCCAAAAATTTATTCTTTGCACTAAATTGATTTTAGTGTATTTTATCCTAAAAATACTGGTCTGATAAACATTTGCACAAATACCGTGCGACATAGAAAATGGCAACTAGCATTTTTTTATTCTACAAGGCCTCAGCACAGAAAATATATTGATACATTTTTAGTGGACGTGTATTTGAGCATGAAAAGGTTTGAGAGCAAGATTTCACACCGCAATTTTTAATTGATGACTATATTAGGTGATTTCCAACTTAGGGTGTGCAAATACCGAAAGGGGAGGGGCTTTTAAGAAATACTATGAACTCTTGATATATAAAAAATATGAAATCCATTAAATTATTAGCAACACATGATTTTTGAAAAATATTAAAATACTTTTTTAAAACATGATTATTCCACATACAATATTGGTGTCACATCAAATCCATAACATAATTAGTTTCTAAATCAATATAAATGACTCATTCGGATAGCCCCGACGCGTTTCACCCTCCTGGGCTTCTTCAGGGGGAAAGAAGTATATATCATGGAAGAGTCCAAACCGATCATCAAATCGACACCACTATATGAGGAGGGACCAAGAATATCAATTGAATTTCTCGCTTCAAGTGAAAAGTAGCCACGCAGGGGAGTCGTGTCAGGAGAGCGCTCTGCAG